AATGATAGAAACCTGTAAATAATTGTTTGTAGGTGTGAAAGAAGGTTTCTATCATTGCACGCTCAACGGTCGTCTCGCTTCGATGCAAAGGCACGGCTACCTTTCAAGATGGCGCAGGTAACCGTGAAGAAGACTATTCTATGAATGGAGGTCCTCTATCAAATCAGAACAGACCAAAAGCAATGTAAGAGCGTTCAATCCCGGATTCAGGTGGTTAGAATTCATAACCGACGGCAAATTATTATCATTGTAGTATGTAGATAGTACACGCAACAGAGAGATCATCCTTAGCTTACCCAGAAGTCTCCTGAAGAAAGTATGTACTAGCTGACACGGGATAAAACCTCAAGAGTATTTCTTGTGAACGGTCTGATCGGTTAGTCGGACTTCAGACTCTTGATTTATCCAAGAAAGAAACTTAGGATAACGACGTGAAATCATATAATATAGTAAATATAGGATCATGATTATATACTTGCTGCATTTTAATAAAAATAATCTTAAAAGTGGTAGTTTTTATAGTTGAAAATATCAGAGTCATTTTACTTTAAGACTGGATACTAAAAACAATTGGAAGAGATGACCCAAACGTTTGATAAGCAGGATTCGCAGGCGATCTATATATGACGACGTTTAAAATCCTTATTCAAATTTCCTGCTCATATTTGTACATAAAATACTGATTGTGGGTCAACCATATACCGCATGAAAAAGCACTCAGTTTATGTTTCAGTTGTAAAAAAGTCATGAATTTAATCAGAATTTAACATTTATAAGAGCAAGAACCATATCAAAAGCTCTTTTGCTCACACGAGGCACGTCATTATGAAATGTCATTAACAAAATGACAATTTGATAGATTTAGCTAAATAAATGATAATAGAGGTTGAAAGTTATCCTTTAGCAGCATAGTTGAGTGATGTGATGAAAATACAAAATGTAGCCGAAGCCGCTAAGTGTGTAGATCGAGTTTACAACAAAAATATGATTCCGAGCTTTCGCTGTCTACAGCATCATCATCATCATTCCCTGATGATGCTGTAGACAGCGAAAGCTCGGATTCATATTTTTGTTGTAAACTCGATCTACACACTTAGCGGCTTCGTTTTGTATTTTCATCACATCAAATGATAATAGACTTGAGCAATTGCCCTATTGCGTAATGACGTCACAGTGTGTTTCCTTTGCTCAGAAATTATGGAAATTTAGACCTAT